ATTTGGTAGGAATTGGAAGGAAGGACGTAGGAATTAGAGGAATTTTAGTTTCACGAATTGAGTGCGTCCACTCCGAATAGTGCATAATTAAATGATTCAGTTATTTCTCTCTCGTTCTACGTCGATCGTTTGCGTTATTTTGTGTTTTAGTGGTAAAGTCGAAGGAACCACGAGGTGCGGAGGTTATATCATGGTACCTGTTCCTAACACCAATGTATATCTCATTGCCCTGGATGGTGGACATTGCCCAGACCCTGCCGTGAAATGTCGATCTGTAAGTAAATCGCTTCCTGGTCACTGATACAGTTTGATGGAGAGACAATGAAAAGTGAAAACAGGGAAATATATGATAATATGAGAAGACGAAAAGACGGAATTAAGAATTGTCACATCATCATAGGCGTAACCATGCAACTCTGTCGCATAAACGTAGCACGCAACACAGGGTTTATGTAGTAGCCAATATTTTTGCGACCAATTCAGTCAAATATTTCCATCTAATTCTTTTGCAGTGTTCGATGATATCATGTGCTAATGGAATAGCTAAAGACAGGTCAAGCAATGTCCCCATTTGTGTACCTTGTGTTTGTAGTGTACGATATAACCCTTGTGCATTGCATTACTATCAGGTAAGCACATAGTTTTGGTGAACGGTTCACTGTTATTTTTAAGGAGCCGATTAATACTCCAAAAAGGAGTTAAAAAAGGTACCAGATAACTCCTTTTCTGGAGAAGATTTAGCTCCAACTGGATTTAACTGGAATCATGAATTCTCTTCTAAGACGAGCAATTTTAAATTACTCCCTTTTGGAGTATAATTTTGACTCTATTTCCGAGTTGATATAATTAGATCTCAGGAGTAAAAACCACTCGCATTGTAGAATAGATTTAACTCTCTTTAAACATTGTTTAGGTAGAGTAGAGTAACTTTAATTCCATTGGTGGAGTTATTTCAACTCCTTGAAAATAACACTTTACGATGTTCAAACGGTTTATCCTTCATTTTGATTGGCATTTCACAAAATTTTAATTCCAGAACCCCAATGCAGCTGTGGTATGCCCGTCTATAGCAAGAAACAAATTGAGCACCAAAACTGCYTGTAAYAAGCCTGACACAGACTCCACAGAGCTGAAAGGCCCCAAGATAAGAGTAAATATATCATCTGCCAATCCCACGGGAAACCGAAAGGTCTCGGGCAATCCACCTTTGAATCCTGGGATAGTTTGCACAGGCATAGTGTTACTAATAATCACATGGGGTTATTTTTAACTACTTTTAAAACATTTCAAAATTATTTTATATTATAAGCAACCAAGAAATGCGCTGGTAAGGCTGTTGATTTTTATTCTCGTTATTTTCCATCGGGAAAATGTGTGCTATATTCAGCTATATTACACAACAGAAAGTGTAATGTTTTTAACAGTTCTCGAGTACATGTATTTATAAAAAATTACAGGGATATATATAATATAAAACACCAATATAGTCTATCAATTCTTTGAACTGAATTAGTAGCTAACTTGGTATATATAAGTGTGTTCTAGTTGACCTTCATACATATAGCTTATCATGCATCATAGTGCTATCGGAGAACAATGCGCCCGCCATCTTGAAACGAGTGAGACCCGAATCACTTTGTTGTGCCTTAGAACATTCATAGTTACCAAGTCAAGTTATCTATCATTACATCGTATTATATTAACTTGACATTAGCTGAGAAGCTTTTAGTTTCTTTAGGAGTTATAATTTAGTGATTCAAGTCCAACTTTTCAAGATGGCGGACGCATTGATCTCCGATAGTATTCATGTATACCTATTGACAATTTCTTATGGGCTAACTAATATATAGCAGCTATTTACGTAGTGACTGCTAGTCGTATGGAGCCGAGTATTGACTACATTGAGTAACAATGACTAAGTTSATGRCTGCTCGTAAAAAAWTGGGAAAATAATTAAAAATGAAATTGAGTTATGGTTTTAAATCTGATAAACAAACTCTAGTAGTAAACATGGTATAATGCAGACTCCGGAATACACGACTGTCTTAYATATGTATATATATTCGAATACCTATGACTTCAATCTATCGTAACAATCCAGGGAAGTCGCTCTACGTTTTATGAGTTTTCCTGACGGTTTAGCTAGGCAAGGCTGTCTTTGTCGTCATTGCTCCACAAGAGCAAGCTATCAAGTGCATTGATAAATAATGCTTATAGCATAAGTTCATCTCGATCTTTCTCTTTCTCTTAACTAAAGCTGTAAATTCTTGAGCAGCTTGCTGTGATACGAGGGTTTAGATCTCTCTACGAAATATACCTCTAACTACGTCGTACGTTATGAAGTGTAGGTATGGCTGAACCAGGTTGCGTGGCTGGTAAACCATGAAGAAACACTGTTTCTTTCGGATGGAGCTAGGGGAATCTACGCCCACTGAACGCTCTCGACTACGGCTCCTAAATGAAGATCAATCTTCACCAGATTCTACATTTCTTTGCAGGATTCATCTTTGCATCATCTGGGCAATTGTAATCCACGGAAAATCCTTCTAAATTTGAGGCACTGCCGAT